GAAGCCACAGCTGCACTTCCAGCTTTTTGGTGGTTAACTGGAGTCTCACAGAGTTTTTCCTGCCCAGGATCTGTGATCCTCAGATCTCAGCCTCCAGAGTAGCTAGGAGTCCAGGTGTGAGCCATGGAGTGTGACTTGACTGTGCTGTTTACCTGAAAGGGGGCTTTCTCATGGAATCATCCCAACATGCCTAATTTACAGGTGAGGAAACTGAGGCTCCAAAAAGGATAACAGAACTAGCTGAGCTGTGCAGCCCCAGCCCAGCCTCTTCCCTCCTCTGGTGGGGGAACCCTTCACAGTCCCAGCCCCTCACTCACCTCCAGCCCCACCATTGCCTGCTACCTTTTCCTGAGCTCTTCACTAATAGTTTGTACAATTTTCTTCATCCCAGATTCGTCCACAAAGCCATCGCCTTTCTGAGCATGGAGAAGAAACCCCCCCAAAAAAAACATGATTGTCAATCCCCCCCTTTCCCTCAACCCTCAGGACCCCAGCTCCAGCTTTCCTCCCTCTGTGTCCATTTGCTCAGAATCACCTTCTTGGAATGGACCAATCTTCCATCCACAAATACTTCAAACTCCCCAGTAGCCTCTGCAGCGATTTCGTCCTCCTGGGGTAGGAGGAGAAGAAGAGGGGAGTAGGGTGGAAGCTGAGCACTCCCCCTCCCAGGAGGGAGTGGGGATGGGGGGGGCCCTGACCCCCCTCCACATCCCAGACCAACCAGCACACTTACAAAGTCCAGAAGATTTGGAAATTGCTGCTCCAAGCTCTTTTTCAGTATAATATACTGAGGATGGAGATGGGGGAGGAGATAGGGTCATGGGAGGGGAAGAGTCGGGGAAACAGGGATCCCTCCCTGTTGGGATGGCTCTGGGCTTCTCCCATATCCAAAGTCACAACTACTCACCCGAAGGCCGTAACTTCAGAGGCCGCTAGAGGCCAAGGACAGGGGAAGGGAGACAGAGAAGAGACCACATCAGTATCTTCCCAAACCCAATGGGGCTCTGTGAAGACCCAACCTCATCCTACCTTCCTCCCCTGCTCAGAACCGACCCTAGTGTCACCCCACTGTGGGGACATCTCTGTCCTCCTCCCATGCTGCTGCCCTCACTTCAACTAGCTGGCCTCCCCACACAGCTGGAGGCTCCTGCCCCAGGGCCTTTGTACTGGACATGCTATGCAGAATGCTCCTCCCCCAGGTTTGTTG